CACAATACATATTTAGAAGATATGTGATACTGTCAATCCGCAATGGGGTCGCGTGGTGGACTATACCCCAATACGCTCTGAACGGATGGTCCTTCGCCCAGCCGTGGGATTTGTATAGGCAGTTGCATTTTTTTTACTTTACTGGAAAGCTGTAACGTAAACTGGTTTCGCCGTACCAAATGGAAACTTTGGAACATTGAACTGCCTAAAACACGAAAAATTGTTTGCTTCAATGTTTATTCGGAATCACAAACACTACGTAAACCACACAGTAGAAGTAAACCTTATAGACAAAACAATACCCGTTTCAATCAACGGCTTGTTAGTTAAAAAAAGTATGTTAATATATCACATGCCCTAAAACGAAACAATTTCCGTTGGTGCCCATTTTCACGCTTTTAATATGTTTACACAAGTTATCGTGATTTCCTGCAAGTTCATTGTGCTCAAAAATCTCTCAATTTAATATGAATACTCACTGAGGGATATTTTCACACGAATTTATTTATCCAACAACGCTCAGTTACGGTAACAAAATTTCTGTACATGGAACATATTATGTAACTATTTCAAATGACCCTTAAACTGCTGTTAGAAAAAAAAACTAAACTTATATAAAAAGACAAAATTATCAAAATTTCTTTATTCAAATAAGCTTGTTTTAAGCTCTTATTGAACTGAAAATACTACCATCGGTCCACTAAATTAGACCTGTCCAGGGAAGAACCGGCAAGATACTATATCGTGGAAATAAATTAAAATAAATCTCCTCTTAATTTTGTGTTAAAGCGTTAATTGTACAGGATCACAATGACTGTTTTGAAAAATATTAATCTACGCTTGTTTTTCTAATTACTGTGGGTAACAACTTAGAAAAAAAATTATGGCTTAATTATAAAAATAGATTATTTTTAATTGAAAACTTCTTGAGGCACGTTGTGCACTTTTTGGGTGAACAAATATCATGGAACTCGCGTCATGGTCACCGAACTCTTTCCATGGGCTATTTTTAATAAAGGAATATATGCAAATTACGCAAATATATTTGTAGTTATGGTTGTTATTATTGTTCGAAGAGTCTATAAAATATGTAGAATTTAATATTAATAAAACTTTTTTTTTTTTTTAATATTTTATTTTTTCACTTTTATGCAGGGTAAAACGGGTAGGATCTGATCAGATCTCATTACAGACGTTTTGACGCTTACCACCTCACATAAAAAACCGACAGAGTGTAAAAAGAAACAAAAGAATCACTAATATTCTAGCTTAAACTTTAAGATGATTGTCAAAATAACATACTTATTATCTATTCTTTGATTTTATTATGTTGCATACATAAATGTTGTTAAATGTGAGTCTCAGGGTCTTATCTTATGTAGAAGCGTCCAAAATTTTTCGACTACTTATCTATTAAACTAACATCCATTTTCTACTATAAGTTTAGTAGTCTGAGAGGCTGCAACGGCTAGATTTTACACCAATACAGGAACGACTATTAAACTAAGACTAGCTTGGCTTTTGAGGATTTTAAATTTTAATAGCAGCCTACACAAAACTCTACATATTTTTTTTACTAATTCACTAGATTAGTTTATGCTGTTTTATTAAAATGACAAATAATATTGGCTTAGTAATATTTGAAAAAAATTTTTTGCAACGTCGACCTGCACAGCGATTGCAGACTCCCGACGATTCGCGCTCATTTTAAAGATTTGACAAAACGGTTCTTCGATAGAGCCCAGCATCATCCCAACCCTCTGGTGGTAAGCGCAGCAAACTACCAACCGGACACAAACGCGAACGTAAACAAGCGTCGCCCGCGAAACGTCCTCATCGACCCGGTCGACGAAGAGGACTTAGATACGATGGACCCACCGCCCGGGGTCCCGCCGGATAACACTACACCCACAGTTAGTGTAACAACAATCACACCAGTTCGCCCTCGCCTCCGAGCACGGCGAGACCCACACAACGCGTACACAAGGTACACCCGCGTTCCGGGGCGGTTCTCACCGCTCCCAGCCACCGATTAGCCAAATGCACAGTCGACGGCCGTCGGGGTCTCGGTCCGAACCGGCGACCTCGACGGCCCTTAGATGACACACCATAGTAGTTAAACGCACGCATGAGCACATGCGCGACCCTACCCATAGCGGAGGGTCCAAACCCGTGGGTTCTGGCTAGCCCACCGGTTCTGCGTCCGATGAAGCTTTAATAGTCTCGGGACTGAAAGCAAAAACATCAGTTAATACAAGATACAAGAGTGTTAAATATATAAATGTATTCATCAAAATTCAATTCGTCTTGCATAATGTAAAAACAAATGGGCCACTGAGGGACCAACTTTTTATAGTTTCAAGAAACACAAAAAATTCAATTATAACGTAATTAGAACCAATAAAATTTTATTGGTGTTTGGGAGGCGATTGGCATGATAAACGGCAAAAAGTAAAGTATCAGCCTATACATGTCCCAATGCTGGGCAAAGGCCTCCTCTGCACGGAAGGTATCAGGGCATAGTCCACGACGCGGCCTCACTGCGGACTTCACATATCTTCGATTATTTTTTTATTATAATTTAAAAAATATGCAGGTTTCCTCACGATGCTTTCCTTCACCGCTGAGCACGTGATAATTCGGCAATATGAAATGAAATATGAAAATGAAATTGTTAATTTCATTGGTGTCTGCACCGGGGATTGAACTCAGATTGCTCGAGTATGTTGAATGAAAGGCGAGTGCCCGGAAACTGAGTTATCACGATTCTGATAAATAGCAATGGATGATGTAATTCCTAATAATCTAATGAATAAAATAAAATAAATTTACTAAATACTTTAGTGCTTTACGCTAATCTCTTACTCTCCAATTGAGAGTAATTTAATACAACTTAACCACCTGTTACAAACACACGATGATCTAAGCTTTATAGTAGCAGATAGTTTCTACCTAGGTAGGGGAGATGCGCTGATTACCTTTCAGAAGAAAATAATGAGGTTCTGAGCCTTGACTGACGTTTGCTCTAAAACTACGTATTTATATAACGTAACCCTATATTGTTATTGTTTCCAGCTACCTTACATCGAACAATAACGGTACCTGTCAAGAAATTCTATCCAATATCTTTTCAAACTAACGAACGCTAAGCAAGCTTAAAGTAATATTATAACTATACTTCAGCTGTCTTAAAGCAAAAAAGGCGGACTTTCAACGATTGTATACTTTTACAGTACCCTGCGTCTATCTGTTTTCATGTTGTCTAAAGATTTTAAAATATAAATATCATAACCATAGGTTTGATGTAGGTATAATATTTTACTTGTAATGACATTTGAGAAAAATATTTAAAGATGCCTCCCCCAATCACAATAAATTCCACTCTTCTTCTTCAATACATACATTTAATTTTGACTAAACTTCTGTGTTATAAGATTACACACATATTGATCACGTAAAAAAGTTGAGTAAACCTATTGGTTTTTATGAGTAACTGGGCCACGAAGCAGTCTTTGCTTCACGAATGGGCTTCAAACTTCAAATTATAATTAAAATAAAGAATTTAACTGCACTGAGCGACATCTGTTACACAACAATATTATCGCGACTACACTTGTCTATCAATTACTGCCATCTAGTGGATATACTCCGAACTCGTATAGTCTGGGAATTTTTACGAAACCCTGAATAACTTTATTATTTCGTCAATTTAGTATACTGTGAAGGCGTTCCTCCTTTATAGTTACTTATACTGGTTACTTTTTAAAACGGAACGCAATCTCGTATACTGTCAGCCGCATTTTTAACGCAGCATTCAAATTGTATAAAAGTTTTCTAGTTCATTAATTCCGTCTTTACTTTATTAATTAAAATATATATATATAATAATACATACATAATAATAAATATTAATACATATATTTTAATTAATACAGTCTAATAAGGTTAATTTTTGCAATGCTTCCATTGTTTTATTTATTAATCAAAACTAATTACAGAACTTTATAATTTTGGGATTAAACTGTAGGTATTGACTGATCACGTGATCAAAGTCCTGCGAGTACCTTACCTCGGAAACGCCAGGGCTCAAAGCAGAATATGGCGACGATTTATGACGTCATATATTTCTCTGGGGTACTGCGGCAGTAAACTGCTAGTCCATAACGGAACAAATATTTCTACAGTGATAGCACTGTGCAGTGTGCAGATCAACAAATCCTCGATAAAGAAAATACATTAGTAGTTTCGTAGCAGTTAAAATAGGTACATACCTATTTTTACTGCTACGAAACGTAAAATAAAGCAGTGTCAATCTTGGCTCTTTTTTTACTTGCTATCTCCACATTGTGTAGCGAACATTATATTTTAAAGTATAAAATATTACATCTTATATTATAGTATAGAAAACGAAGGTTATACATTTAAATGTATATATTTTAAATAAATATATATTTAAATATACATATAAATTTAACTAAACCATTATTTCTAAGTAAATACAAGTAGAGTACGCGCGAGTAAAAACTCGCGTGCTTTTACGAGCAATGTATAAATAAAAAATATAATATTTTAGTCATTGTATAACAATTATATATATTATCCACACACTCATCACGATATATCTGGAACCATAAGGCGTAGACACTTGGAATTTGTTAGGAATATTCTTTTCGAAGTCGAAGTTTCGAGTAGAAGTCAGCTAAGAACGGATTTTATGAAATTCTACAAAACGTTTGCCGAATCAGGTAGTGCTATATATGACAATTAATGTATGCAATCGTTAAAAAAAATGTTCATCATGTTTGAAGCTTGCAACCGATGGGCGTTATATGGAAATCACAACTTAAAGGTGACCTAGCCCCAACTAAAGATAACGGTAACATTAAATTATAAATATTATACGTGATAAAATGACTCTGTTAAAATGGGAAAATAATTGAAGTCTTACAGAAGTTGCTTAAGATACGTACTTAAGCGAAAATAAGACTATTTTAATATCACAAAAAATGAATACCATCCCAAATAGTAATGTGCGGTCGAGTGGTGCTGTATGGATAGAAGGCCAGAGCTGTGCCCGAGGGGTTTTCTTCGTGCTTCTGCAACCAACATTGGGTCCAGCAGCAACCCTTGATAAATAACTTGGCTTCGTCCTCACAAGGAAGACGGTCAGTCCTATAGTGCAACCAACCGTACCATTCCGGTGTTACCTACATAAAAAAATAAGTTGTCAACTAACTTTAACTGATGTTTTTGCTTTCAGTCTATTATACTATTAAAGCTTTATCTAACGCATAACTCTTGAGCTAGCCGATACCCACGAGGTTAATACAGGCCACCACGTTGGGTAGGGCCGTGCATTTTCTTTCCGCAATTTCGACACAATTTTAATTTTTATAGGTAATATTTCAAAGTTATTCTTTGTAATTACAAAAATATATCTGCTGCTCCATAAATTTATACAAACTAGACACTTCGTTAATTCATCATTGACTACGACGCTAAATGAAAAACCCAAAACTTACTTGACTGGCATCATATTCAATCCGGACACTGTCGTTATATTCAACCCAGCGACTGGAGCCAATAACGTAGTATGGGTTTTCATAATACCTGTTGCCATAGCTGTCACAGCCCATGTATTTACCATCCTATTGAAATAAACAAAACTTAATTAAAATACAACAAGTCATTCATTCCTTCCATATCTTCCTACACAACTTTCGTCTCAAGTCAGTACAACAAACGTAATCGAAATTATTTAATGGGTTGACCATAAAAACACCCAATGACATTATATGACATCATTGGATGTTTAACCCATACATACAAATGTCCTTATTATAAAGGCAAAAGTTTGTTTGTATGGATGGATGTTTGTTACTCTTTCACGCAAATACTACTCAATGTATTTTAATGAAACTTATAGACAATAAATATAGCTTATAGATCAGAATAAGACATAGGGTATAATAATTTATATACATATTTTATGTATATCTGTCTTTCTGTCTGAATGTTACGCCTTCAGCCTATTCTACGCTGACGTAGTCGCGGGCAGCAACTAGTATACAAATATACAAACCCATGTATACAAATATTATTAAACATTATTGTTAAAAGACAAATTTATAATATCACTAGCACACTTTCGCCTATATAATATTAGATGTGCAAAGATATATATTTAAAACTAGTTAAGCAATACCTTCAGGGTGTCGAAGCGCCACAACTTATATATCGACTTAAAGAGTCCACCATTTTGCGAAATAATTTTTCTTAGTAGACGTAACTTTTCTAAAGACCCCATTTTTGTACATTAATAGATTTTGTGTCAGTAGAGAAATGTCATTTTTAATTTGTCACCGAGATTTTGTGAAACTCCGTACCAACAAACCTAAGAAAAAGTAAGAAAATGTCACATTGGTTGAAGCAATTGGTACTGCTAACTTCTAGCTATACTATTGCGAGTCACTAAAACATCAAGAAAGGACATTAAGAATGAGTTGCATTGCTCTAGTTCCAAATAAGTAAAAGCTATTTTTATTATTGATGGAGTTGGTAGTTAAAAACCATGAATTTATATCAGCTGGTAATGTTGTATTGTAAACAAATGATACAAGATATATGTCGGCGCGAAAATGTCACTCGATTATTTTGTTAGTATCATTTATCATTTTTTTTATTTTAATTAAATATTATATCAATCATTTTAGATTGTATTCTCTATCGATCATTATTGTTTATCTGACAATAATTACTCTTGCTTATAAAAGTAATAACATTAAGGTTTCTTGTAATGAAGAAGTACTTTGAATAGTGATAAAGTTATTTTTGTAGCCTTCTTGCAAATAAATAATTGTAGTAATAAATTCGTTTTTCAAAATTGTAAACATCCGTTTAACAAAATGTGAGGTTTCGAAAAACAATTAAAATTGTTATAATTTTCATTATTTAAATAATTATTAATCAAGTAATGTTAATAATAAATAGTCCGAATGTTTTGTAAAGTTTTTTGGGCCCGGACAAGTCGATAAAACATCCCGTGGCCCCTTCATCTTGTTTCTTAAATTGGTCGACTGTTGGTTAATAAAATAACTTTCAGTATATAAATGGCGTAGATTTACAAATCGTTTGACCGGGTTTATACCGAACGTTAAGGCTAACCGATGGCACAGTATTTGCTATTGTTGCAATGAAAATCTGTCAGCCATAATGGACCAAATATTAGATTTTTTCCTGAGACATCTGCCAAGACCCACGTCTGGTGTCAACGACCGTGAAAAAGAAAACGCGTCGACCCACAGATTATCCAACTTAAGACGCGACACCAGCTCGCCACTGAGAGGTACAAATCATTAATTAGAACACACATTAGTTAAAAAATTTAGAATGGAGCAAATTTTAAATTAATTTAATATTTATTAATTTCATTAATTTGTAAATTTAATTAATTGAATATTTAGTTACAAATATTAAATTAATAATTTTTTTTATTAAATATCTAAAATTTCTCTAAATTTAACCTTTCTTCAAGCTCTAGTAACGGTAGGTGCTGAAGGTGTTCGTTCTGGTTTGGGAACGGACAGTGAAGAAATTACTTTGGGAGTCGGCGTAGGAGCAAAAGATGCTTGAGGAGAAACTGGACTCTGCAGAATTTTAGTTTGAAGATGAAAGAAGCCGATGGACAATGTCTAGATGCAGGCACCGGACGCAATGATGACATTTTTTACGGAGGTAGCTGAAAAGCTCACTGGGGTCGTTAAGAAAATCTGGCTCTAACGCAGAGACTAGTAATTCACCTGGCAATATAAGCAGTTCCCCATAAACAATTTCGGTGGCTGTGGTTTTTAAATCTTCATTGAAGACGGAACACACGCCAAGTAGAACCTAGGATGGGTTGGATATGATTTGGTGGAGGTCGAGTACCTTCTGGGCTTATATGATATCCTAAGAAAGTAGTCTCATGGACACCAAGAACACATTTGGAAGGGTTAACGACTACGCCGTAATCTCGAAGCCATGCAAAGAGGAATCGCAAGTGCTGCTGGTGGATAGTTTCACGGACACTCGGTGAGAAAATTAGGATATCATCAACGTAAGGCAAGCAAAAATCGACACCCCGAGTGATCTCATCGATAAATCGTTGAAAGGTTTGACCCGCATTTCGAAGGCCATGAAAGGGAATTCTAAGAGGGCAAATGGAGTAGTAATGCCCATCTTCGGAATATCCTCTTCGACGACTGGTATCTGATGATAGGCCTTCCCGAGGTCGATGGTACTAAATATGGATGCCCTAGAAAGGTTATGTGAAAAGTCATGTTTGTGTCGAACAGGATATTGATCCGGTACAGTCCTAGCGTTTAACGCGCGATAGTCTCCGCATCCGCACCATGTGTGTCATCTTTTCTGCGAGCCATATGCAACGAAGATGACAACGCGCTTTTAGATGGTCGAGCTGTACCTGATTTTACTATGTCCTCAAACTCTTTCTTCGCTGTTATTAATTTAAACGGGGAGGCCGACAAGAAATCGGTGGACCATCTGTGGTTTTAATATAATGCACGGTATCGTGTTTTATGACCCTTGGAACGCCAGGTTGACGTGTTATTTCGGGGAATCCAATAGCACTTGTGCAAAAACGGATTTCGATAAGACTACAGCTTTCACACTTTATTGATCTGCAGTTACGTATGAAACAGATGCTGACCTGTTGGTGAGTCTGTCGACCAATTTCTCGGCACTACAATCCGGAAGTAAGTGGTAATAAGACAAGAAGTCTGACCTTATGATGGCTACAGTGGCATTTGTCGGTGAAGACCCAAGTCCAAAGTCAGGTTTATGTTACCGTAGGTCTTGATACCGCCGCCGCTAGCTGCGCTGAGCATATAGTCGGAAACTCTCCACCGTTCTGAGAGCCAACAATGAGGGTAGCAACACAGATCAGAACCAGTATCTACCAAAAATTGGCGTTTAGTAACCTGATCTGTCACAAAAAGACGACGGCTAGATTTTTGCCATTCGCAATCTACTGACTGCGTGTCGAGATTTTTTCTTTCCAGCTGCAGGCTGGAATGCATTTGATCAATTTACTTAGTTGTATTTTCCATCCAGTCCACTAGTGAGTTCGGAAGTGACGAGGTTGATGAGAAAATATTTGTCGCACTTGATTGAACTTCCATAATTTAGTCTGCAAGTTTGGCTATTTCATCTAGTGGAATATTATGTTGAGTTGCTGCAATGCCTTGCACATGACGGAGTAAGCGGCGAAGCCAAAGTTGACGAAGAATAATATTATCATAGGCCGTGGTCTCTGCAAGTGAGCGAAGATATCGAAGAAACTGTGAAGGTCTTCTATCACCAAGCTCATTTTCACCCAGTAGGAGTAAAATTCGCTGATCATCCGATGGGGAAAATCGATTTATTAGGGTCTCCTTAAGTTTTAAATACCCTTCTACTGGAGGGTTGGAGTAGATGTCTTCAATTTTGCTGGCAATTGTATGATTCATTTGACTAAGTACTTAATAATACTTGGTTACGTCAAACGTGTGACATTCCCTGTAGCTTGAAGGCTATTTGGCATACAGCTGGTGAATTGGTTGTCTCTGTTTGGCAATGAGTATGACTATGTTCTTGTCGAGAACGAAAGAAATTTTAAAGATTTTTATAGTGCTAATCTCTGCACTTAAGATTGAACATTAAAACATGTCGAAAAAGTAAAAAGTTGTTTGTATGCTGGAAAGGATATAACAATAGATGCGCCAAGCATTGCTCCAAATGCTAAATAACAATGTAGAAGGAAGGCGTTAACATTTTCGTTGTTATGGCTATCAGCCGTTTAGCTCAGTGGCTAGAGTGTCAGGCCGCGAATGCTAACGACGTGGGTTCGATTCCCACAGCGGCGACAATCTTTTCGTACTTTTTCTACATGTTTTAATAGAGAACGAAATAAATTATTTTCTGCCTCCAGACGCTGCTAAGGGTTCTAGAAGCTCCTTGTCCATTGAGACAAGCAAAAAATAAAAATAAGAGAAAGGTAAAGATTGAAAATGCTGCCAAAACCAAACCGTCACCTTTTGACAACAATGTTTAAAAATATGAATATGTAATTATAAAAATACAGATGAACAACCACACTAAGTATTACTATAGTACACACAGAAATTGTACAAAGAAAAGGAAAATTCGCGTCAAATGTCAATTGTCAACGCATTAACAAATTTTAAGAATTAAAATTTATCTGATTCTGTTTAGATGGGATAAATGTGTTTACAAAGCGTTATATAGATAACTGTAATACACCAAGTGCACTAAAAGACAAAAAAACAAAAATGAAATGGCAAATGAGGAAAACTTACTAATCAGACACAAGAAAAGTTAAAATTAGTTGTAAATGTAAGCCGTAAAATGCAAAGCACTATTGTGTAATAATCCGCTGTCTTAATGTAGACGCTGGCAGTTTGCAGTTTGTAGCTCGATACAGGCAATCAGTGCCTCAGTCACAAATGTTTCCACTTCGCGGAAGGGACGTCACTGAGGCATCCGTCCGATTGAAAATTTCAATTCGCTAGCGAATACACGGGGAAAGTGACGAAAATGTTTATGAAACTGCATGCACTGATGGCTAAGTTTTGAGAACCGATTCACACCAGTCTGTGCTAACTATGGATCACTGGTCACCTAAATTATAAGCGTGGTCTTCAGTATGCGTCGCTGGTCACCAATTTGGGCCCGGTTATGTCGATAAAACATATCGTGGCCCCTTCATCTTGTTTCTTAATTAGGTGGGTGTTAAAATAACTTCCAGTATTTAAATGACGTATGTTTACAAATGGTTTGATTAATTATACCGGACGTTAAGACTACCCGATGGCACAGTATCTACTATTTTTGCAATGAAAATCTTTGAGCCATAACGGACCAAATATTCGATTTTTTCCTGAGATTTCTGCCAAAACCACGTCAAGTGTCAACGACCGTGAAAAAGAAAAAGCGTCGACTCACAGATTAACAACTTAAGAAGCTACAGTTTCTACAAAATCCCGACTTCGATGGTTAGCGTGCGGAGGGCGCTAGTCGTCTTAATTCGTGGGTTTTGTAATTACTAAGATAAATAAGGTTAAGCCTTTTGTTTTTTTCTACTACCTTTTGTCTAACAAATGAGACGCAGTCTTCTGTGGGTAAGAAGTAAATAGCTAATCAAGATGTGGATATTTTATCTCACCGTCAATCGTTAGAAGAAATGCTTTCTCAAACAGTAATTTCAGATCGTAAATTAGCATTCAATATATTACAGGATTCAATAACCCT